TACGAAAAGTCGCACAGTTATATAAATTACCGTGTTTATCTTTACATACTATACAAGTATGCTGGAGCGATGTCGGCGTAGCGGTTACGTAAGTTAACGACCCTGCTATTTTAGATGGTTGAGTCTGTCTACGGTCGACGCACCTTTTAATCTCCTGTTTAACGTTCGGTGAGCGCTGCATCACCTTTATTTGATCTCGCACGAACGATGCTAATGAATGAAAGGAAGGCATCTCCGAGCTACGATGCTCCATTTCAAACGCACGCACGGTGTCGGAGTCTAATTTCTTTAATGCTATATGGAGAAACACCACGTCCATGAGGTCATTAAACTTCAAATTCTTAAGTGCAGCCACCGATGCCACAAATTTATCGAGAAACTGCTCTAAGCCGTTGATGTTCGCGGATGATATAGGTTTAAGATCGAATATCTGGTTCAAATATTCGGAAGCTAACATTCTCCTATCTTCATATTTAGTTTTAAACGTTTCAAATATTAATACGTAATTGTTTGCTGTAGGTGTAAAACCCGAGCAGATCGACTGTGCTCTGCCACTAAGTTTGCTAATTAAGTAATATAATTTTTCAGCGTCCGATAACGATGGGTTGTTGTGTATATTGTTTTGAAAACTACTGAAGAAGAAGGGCCACGTCTTAATATCACCATTGAATACCGGAATATCTATTGGCGGTAACCTAATTGAGTCACGAGGGCGTACCTGCATTTCAGGCTTCGCTTCACCTTGAGATTGTAGCAATTTTGCGGTTCTCTTCACGCGACACAACATATCTTCGAATGCCAGCAGCGGTTGGTAGTTCACTATGTATTTCGGGTCGGTTTGTAGTTCCGAATGATTAATTTGATCTAATATTCTTTCGTAATCTGTCCGCAAATTATCTATCGTTTCGATTTCATTTAAAAAGGCCTCCCGTACTGCCTCTATATGAATGTTCTTTATATAATCACTTATATTCTGCACACGCGAAAAGAGTATGTCCCTCTTGGCATAAAGCGTTTTAATTTTGATTTCACTTCCACTAACTGCCATTTTAAATTATTATAATAAAGTTATATTAATCACAATTAATCTCACACGCATAAACGACGTAGGATGAATACTCGGCGTGCCGTATTACGTAATCAGATCGAGCGCCCGATGCAGTCAAGGCTACGCGTCGTTTGCTAAACCTAATAATTTTATAAAATTGTGGGGTAAGCGTATCAAACGGTTGCTATCACGCCGTTTCAATTATTTAATAAGCTTTAAATTTAACCAAATACGAGCGCTATTAAATGAATAATTCTGTTTGCGAGTAACAAATCAAAATTTTAATTTAAACGAACACTATTTAAGTCTATTCTATAAATTAGAGTGCGTTATCTAAACAATTAATTTAATAATTCGACCAGAAAATGGTTGGATAACCACTAAACACCAATCCAGATCCTGCCGAAGTGACCATAAAATGGTGGAGCCACGTGTTTAAGGCTGCCGAAAATCTAGTTCCCCGGTCAAACCTCAAACCTATTACGCGAGATATTAACTAAAGTGGACTGTATATGCGATTGCTTCTACGCTTACGTAAAGCGACTACTATAGCATGCGGTACAATGCACTCGCTCTTCCCTAAACTAAACTATTACTTGTCGAATCGATGAAAGGAATCCTGCTTGACTAGGAAAAAAAACACAGATTGGAGCGGGTTAAATTATTAGCAAGCAGGTATAATTAAGGAATATTGACTCACCGGGGTTTCTTCTTCCTGTCGATCACTATAGCGGCGACTTCCGGAACCTCCTCTGGACAGACACTTCTGGGCCCCAGTGGTGCGTCAGGAGAGAAGCGTTGGTTCAACGACGACTGCGGCGGGAGAAGAGACTCGCGCATCGGTCGCGCGTGTCTTATATATCCTCGGCTCGGGTGATTACGCGATGTTCTAGAATCGTCTTCTTTCCCCTCCCACCCCACCACCCCGATGTGTCGATAGGAGGGTACGAATGATATTGTTTGGAAAGGAATAATGATTCTACAAGTTCCTACCGTCAAATAAAAAACGCGAGTGGTTTTCCGCGCAACCATATTTCGTCCTTGTTACGTCGTAGTTCAGTGGCGAAACCTAACCTTCCCAAAGACGAATTTACAGCGCTAAATAACTTACGGAACAGACCAGAACTCACGATTCTCCGCGCGGATAAAGGAAATGCTACGGTAGTAATGGACGCGTCGGAATATAATTTTAAAATACAACAACTTTTATCGGACGAAAGTACATATAAAAAGGTCAAAACAGACCCTACAACTAACACGCTTAAAACAACTAGCGATTTAATAAAGAAATACTCCGAAAAATTAAATCTCGACGTGAATTCGCTAATACCATCATGTGCCAAACCACCGAGGTTGTATGGGTTACCGAAGATACACAAACCAAACGCTCCACTACGTCCCATAGTGAGCCAGATCGATTCACCAACCTATAAGCTGGCACAATACTTAGCAAAAATACTATCACCACTAAGAGGACATACCAGAGCACACACAAAGGATTCATACCATTTTGTGAGTGAGATAAAAGACCTACATCTCGCTAACAATGAAACTATGGTCAGTTTTGATGTTCAGTCACTATTTACATGCCTACCTATTGTGGACTGCATCTCAATTGTAACTAGGAAGCTAGAAGAAAATAACATGCCTCAAGAATATGCAATACTACTTGAACATTGCCTCACATCTGGCTATCTACTGTGGAAGGAGGAGTTCTACAAGCAAGTAGATGGTGTGGCGATGGGCTCACCTGTGTCTCCCATAGTCGCCGACATATTCATGGAGGACTTTTCTACAAGCGGTACGTAGACGACACTTTCACAATTTTACCATCTGACAAAGTAACTGCATTTTTAGACCACCTTAACTCCATAAACTCTAAAATACAATTCACAATGGAGTTAGAGGCAAATAATTCTTTAGCTTTCCTAGATGTTTTAGTCATCCGAAATCCTGATAACACTATTGGTCACACTGTGTATAGGAAAAAGACCCATACCAACCGATATTTAAATGGTGAATCTCACCATCATCCTTCACAGTTAGCTACCGTGGGTAAATCTTTGTTTCAGAGAGCACGAGGGATCTGTGACAGAAAACATCTGGCCGCGGAGCTTCAGCACGTCAAGCAAGTATTGCAAGACAACAAGCTTCGAGTCCCGCGCCTACGTCACAGTGAACGAGTGAAGCCGGCCACAGTCGAGCGCGCGCCTGCTCTACTACCATATGTTAGAGGAGTCACAGACAAGATTGGCTACATCTTGAAGCGAGCGTCCATTAAGACATACTGGCCGCTGAAGAAGATTAGTCAATTTTTACCATCCATCAAATGTAATATTCCTCTACAAGATGCAGGTGTGTACAAGCTAGATTGTGAATGTGGTCTCTCTTACATAGGTCAAACAAAGAGATCTATAAAAACCCGCGTGAAGGAACATATAGCTGATGTGAAGCACCGACGCTCCGGGAAGTCTGCAGTCTGCGAACATGTTCAAGATCGTCCCCATCATTACATTAGATTTGATAAACCACAAATTCTCGCAAAAGAACACCGATTCCTACCAAGGATGATACGCGAGGCTATTGAAATTAAAAAACATCCAAATTTCAATAGAGAAGATGGTTGGGTGCTACCATCTGCTTGGGATCCTATAATTAACAAAATTAAACCCAAACCCAAGCATACCACTGCAAGACTTCATGATACTATAAGCTCGTTTTGCGTAAATCGGACCAAAAATTAATATTAAAAAACTGAAGGTAGCCGGACTAACTATGACATTGGGACGTCAAACATCTCAGTCCCCCCCGTGACCATGGGCGCTGTAAAGCACCCGAAACGTCGGGATAATAATAAAAATAAATTAAAGTAATTAAACGCGATAATAATCCGTAAATAATAGTTTTATTCAAAATGTATACCTTTACAATTTTGAACATGTCAACTTTGTTACTGTCCCAAAAAAAATGTGAACATATTTTGTGTTTTTTTGCTTATTTAATTGAGTTTTAAATGTAAATAATGCAGGTATTTTAAAGAAAAGACCATAATGTTTTATGATCATAATATTTTTGTTGAACTAAGATGCTGCATTTTATGTGACCGAAAAAATTGGTGTTAACTTAGAACCAAGGTAACAAAACCAGTGAGAATAATGATTTATTTTTAATTTAGAGGCCTAATGTGTGTTAATTATTGCTCTGTTTATTTTCCGTACTTAACAGTTTAAATTTTTAAATTTAAATCCTAATAAAAATTCACATTTCGTTATATTTTCCGGCGAAACGGGAGATATTCTCAGCTTTTGATATAATTTCATAATTTTCAATAAATTTTCTAGACTATGCTATTTATTTTAATGGAAAAATTTTATTCTTAAAAATACGTTAATAATTTTAGTAGAGGGTACAAAACATTGAATCCGCCCTAATATAGATATCAAATATCGCATCGTCAAAACAATTTTACGGTTTAAATATGAACTACTCGTATGTTGGTCAACAAGTAGTTCAGAAATTACATAATCACTAATAATTGCGAGTATGTTATAATAACAATAACACTAACTGTTACATTAATATAATATAAAAATATATTATACATTTAAATGGTTAGTATGTGTATGTTAGTAAAAGGTGACATAGCTGTTTATCATCCCAATTTTTTACCTCAATTTGTAGGAAGTGAAACTTCTAAGTAACTATATTTATCATTCATGACATTTTCAAAGTTTCAAATTAATACAAATAATAAATATTTATATGATTTAAAAATTGATACCTATCATGGGAAAGTTATGAATTATAAAAAATAATTCCAATTATAACTCAAAAAATAATACGTTTAATTTTTATTAAGTAATTTAGTTTATTTAATTTTGTCATAAAGGTAATAAGTAATATGATAACGTTTTTTGTTAAACCATAAATATGTAAATATTTTGTTACCTACCTTCATTGACACTAAATGGTGAAGTAGGACTTGTCGAACTAGATGGACTCCACTGATACTCAGTCCAATACGGCGACGCCGAACTACCTTCACCCGCACTAGTATTCGACTCAGGACTCCAATCCCATCGCGCCCTTTTGCTTGAAGAGTATCCTCTGTATTCTGGGCTAAATCCAGATCGATTGCCGTCCGAATATGGAGATAAGGGAATTCGATCAGTTCGATCCGGACTCATAGCAACTTGTGACTGTGAGTTAACTGGCCATTCAGGACTTTTTGGTTCCCAATAAACACCGGCCGACCAATCTCTGCTCGCCATTTTAATGAGTTGCGACTTCTGCTCAAAAAACAATATTTAAGTTAAATATTTCAAGTAATACTTTTCTGTTAAATATAATATCGAAATCAAATTTTATAACATACACAAAATGTACCTACGTTTTTTAAAAATTTAGGACTACCCGATCTAGCTCTTTTAAGACATTTACGCCTTGTTTGATTTTCATCTTCACTTTGACTGTCATCTGTGGCATCACTATCAATAGCATCCACAAATCCAACTATCATATTGTCCCTTTCTATTACCACTTTTAGCTCATCGCCGTTTTTAGACGCTAACTGACCTTTGCGTCTCAATAATAAACCTTTTCCTTCTATATGGCAGCTATCATTTGGTTGTTCAGTAGGATTTTGTTTTAAGGAATTAGTACAATCTATAGTTTTTTCTCTTAATTCCATTACTTTTGTTGTTTCAAACACTACGTCGACTTTTTCTAAATTGTTGTGTTCAAAGTCCATAGTTTTCAGGTAATTAGTTAACTTATCAGTGAGCAAACTAATAAGACCCTCGTTAACGAGAATCTGAAATGCTGTGTAAAAGTAATAAAATGATAAATGCTGGCCCAAATATGTTTTTTTTTAAGAAATAATACTAGCCATATTATAAATATTATCTACTAAGTACCTGGATGACCGAGCTTTGCTCGGTATTTTTTTTTTTTTTTTGGAAATCGTGTTTTTTGTAAATTATATTTAGATACAAATTACAAAATGATGAAATATGAACAAAACTTTTCAATCTTTTCGATCATTATTTTTCGTGTTTTAAAAAAATATACTAAAAAAGGGCTCCAAATAATATATTTTCTCACAAAAGAAGGAAAAGAAGGAAAAAAAGGAAAAACGAGTCAGACCGGAGACATTTGGACTCGAACCGGCGGACTATGATTTCAGCACTTGAGCTGTTATAACCTTTTAGGCACCGGCAAAATTTACTTTCGTATTCTAATGATATTGTAGCAGTTTTTCATTGCTTAAAAACATGAATAAAACGACATTTTCTAAAAATGAGCCCTAGCTAGATCGATTTATTGCCCCCGAAACCCCCTGCACACATGACACATAAACACCATGAAAATCGTTGGAGCAGTTTCCGAGATTCCGATTATATATATATATATATTTATATATATATATTTTTTATATATATTAAGAATTGCTCGTTTAAAGGTATTGGATATTCCCATTCCTAGTAAGCTTAAAATTACTTGTGTTAGGAGTGATTCACGACAGAAGTCGAATAGTGGATTTAAACCCACGACTTTATGAGTTCACAAAACGCACTAATCATCAGGTTAACGTAGCTTCCAAATTTTTTACATTGTAAAGTATTAAATTACAAGGCTCAAGGCCAATTATTCCATAGGAGCAACTTATGTTAGAGATAATTTAATACAAAAGTCAGATGCTGCTAAATATAATGCGGAGTTCACACAAACAAATCACCGATTGAAGCCTAACGATAAGTAGAATAGATCGAGCAGCATTTTAGCGCAAATATCCGTCTGCTTATAGATTTTATCACCAGTATCATGATTTTTTTTATTCTTAGAAAAAAGGGCTTTGTCGCTGAAGCGATTATGACGCCCTGGTACAACAAAATTCTTAAATAGGATAAATACTAACAACTAAACTTATTAATTATTAACACATAAATCTTTTTGGCATCTTCTGATAACGGGTCTGATAAAATACTATTAACACTGCTAATCAATGACAAATGTAAAATACAATTTTTTCTTTCTATGGAGTTCTGGGCACATTCTATGAAAATGTGATAAACATCATCGATAATGTTACAAGTTGAACAATTTGGTGAGGTATTTTTTCGAATCAAGTATAAAAATTTATTGCATTCCATGTACTATCAGGACTGTGAGTTCGTTTATCACTTCGATTTTATAAAAAATTGCTTGTTATTTATGTCTACTTACATGAGTCATCAAAAACATATTGTAATAATGCGTGCATGGCATACGAATTAACGCGTGCCGCGGCAACTAACAACGCCAAACCACCACAATGACGTAATCGAGATCTATTAACAGATTCACCACTTAATTGAGCAAGAGCTTTTGCCGCTCCCTCAGGCCACCACGCCACATCTGTAAACAAATGCTCGATAAAATATCATCAAACATAGTTTTAAAATTAGTAGTTTAAGAACAGAACTAACAGCGACCTTTCAGACAAAAAGTATATTTTATAATATATGTAAATAGACATCGCGGATGAGTTGTTGCCTAAATTATCTTCAAACCTACCCTCAATTAAAACACTGTAAATATTTTATTCATTTGCTTACCAAACATATTTCATAACAATCGAAGTTTAAAGCACAGGGAGCATATTAATTAAGTTGCCTTTGTCTATTCATATTACCAGCTTGCCAGGTATAAAGTAAGTATGTATTATTACAAGTATTGACCATAGCCAGGTTTTGATATGAGGTGAGACAAAAATCTAGATTATGTATTAAAAAACCGAAGCCCATGCTATTCTTGTGCTTTTTTTTGGATCAAAGGCTACCTACGTTGTGTGCTGAAGCAAGCGCCAAACCATGCCACTACCATGCCTATGTCAATGTAAGTTGGTACTAGCAAATTTGTACTCATCTACTTTCTCATTTATATATATTATATATGTAGTTGAGCCATGCTGCAGCCATATTATGTATGAAGCACAAATAAGTCAGCTCGACAGGGGAAGGGCTACGATTTTACAAAACACCAGCGTAAAAATCATCCTTAATCCTGCTGTGTTCCGTATGGTGAGTGTATCACAACGCAACTTGTAAAAAGGATCTCTGGTTAGAGAATCAGAGATCCTTTTTACAAGTTGTGTACAGCGCACCTGCACTTTGATTCTTACTCAAGGATAAATGTAGATGTCTATGAGCCACAGCATCCTCTTACCATTAGTGAACTGTGTTCTTGAATTTCACCCTTATCCCATTTAAGAAATTAAAAAAAGATAATTATTGTTGCAAACACTATGCATACGTTGCGTGCGAATAAATGAAAGAAAGAGCGCATTATATTATTTTCGGACGATTAAAAAAGATAACACATTCAAGACTTGTTTTATCTACTTTTGATTTCTTATATTTACGCGAACACTATACATTGATTAAAACTACTTTTACGGATTTTATCGCATTTCGCAGGTCACGGGGGACCACGGGTGCTAGAAAGCACCCGAAACGTCGGGTATTAAAATTAATATAAATAAAACGCGATAAAATCCGTAAAAGTAGTTTTAATCAATTATCTACTTTTCTCAACTTATGGCGACACATTGCTCCATACTCCATACTGTTTTGTTTATTAGCCATTAAATTCATATAAAAATTAAGGCAGCCATTCATAACCACATGAAACATAAAAAATGATTTATCGCAAACAATCTTATACCACACTTCACTATAAAATTATCTTTATTTTAATATTAAGGGTTAAGTGGATGAGCACAAATTTGTTTAGATATTATTTATGTTTGATAAATTATACTTAACATTCGATAATCAGATGGATGAAGAAAGAAAGGAAAGTCAGATCTTGCACTACAGGCAATTTTAAGTAATTTTTCTTTTAAAACACAAACAATAAAGTTAAGATTTGAGAGTTAAAGACTTATTTTGCAAAATAAAATAAAAAGTAACTATAATTGTTTCTAAATACCTGAAAGTTTTTGTAAAATGCCAACCAAACACTCAACAAGGCCTGCTGTACCCAAAAGTGGGCGACAGGATGAAACATAACAAAGATTTATTAAACATTTTAGTGAAACTGATTCATATCTCTTTGTTAGAGCTACTAGACACTGGTAACCCCTACCATCACCTTGTATCTGTAAAGAAATTTTGTACTCATGTTATTTTTGAAATTTAAATTTTACATAGCCTTGCCCTTGCCTATAAGATGATTTACATTCTTGCTCTTAACAATTAAGGAACATGTTGGAATTGCTAAAAGCATGACTGGAGTAAAAGAAAAAAGATCCTCTTACAAAAGAATGGTTTTTCGCTATTTAAGACATTTCTTTAGAAATTTATATTGAGGTTTTAATTTTTTAAATAAAATAACAGCTTCACAGCATAGCCGCAAAGCGTTTGGTTGCGACGCTACAGGGCCGCGGGTTTAAATCTCACACAGTGTATGTACAGCCTACCAATAATTGTTTTGGGTCTGAATGTTTGCCCATGTGCAATTTATGAGTGTAAACTATGTCCACTACACAGGTTAAAATCCCAGGTAACATTTTGTAAACGTCAACTCATCAGAGATGTTGAGTCCGCCAATTTGCTTTAAAGTAGCGCGGTGGACTTTCGCCTCTGCCAAAATTCAGCAGAATTAAATTAAGCCTTTCAGAAATTAGTGTAGTTCTATAGTCAGGAAAGTATAATGTCACTTTTATATCAATTTTATAAAAATAATTAGTCAGAGAATAATAGATATTTTTATTTCTTTAACAATGAATTAACTGCTATGTTAACAAAGTATATCAACATTTTCCCTATCACACCACAAGTACAAGTTGTTAAATAAATTACTCAGCTCAATCATCTGAGTCTCACAATCTCAGTGTGATAGGGAAAATTTAGATTTACTTTGTTAACATAACAGTTTCATTCACCTATTATTTAGCAGTAGATTACTTGAGGAAAGGGTGGGTGATCATAAAAGTTAAACACTAATAATAAAAAGTTCTGAATTATATTTACATAAATTGATTAACACATCAAACTGGATGGGGTAAAAAATTTATGTAATATCAATTTATGGTGCACTGTAATTAAATAGAAAATAAATTACCTGCTCTGCACAATGTGGATTTGCATATGTAGTAAAATAGCCCAAACATTTTAAAATACCAGTAATAAGTTCTTCTTGGCTTCTTTTTAGCTCTTCCAATTCTTTTTCAGGGTTGGATGATTTCATAATACCAACAGATTCACATTGCATAATTAACAGAATAACAATGCACCTCACAGCATTTAAACTAAGCATTTCATCTCTCTTGTCTGTTACCATCCATAGTTGCCTGAATATACAAATTATTTTGTGTTACAATCAATTATTTTTGAAATTCATATACAGTAACTAGCAATAATCTTGTAGTCATACAGTCTAAACAATTGTAAGTACTATAGTTTTTATTTTCTTACCTGATTGCTCTTACAGCCATTGTCAAAGTAGCATGTGAGGTGGTTTTGTCTCTACTTTCAATCAAGGCAACAAGTGCAGCAACAGCACCATGGTTGTGTAAGCCTTCAGCATTAGAATACCTCTGTGCTAAATTCCCCATTAGTCTGCAGGTCCTTCCTAAGATACTATCCCTACATACCGTCTTCAATATAGATACTAATGGGCCAAAACTATTCAATTTACCAACCTAAAACAGAAAAAAATTATTATATCATGAAATTATTTACTAGATTGTATAACCTCTTTTCAGCCTAGTAATCTGCTTAAGTATATACCATCTTCTTACCTATTTCTGCCGAAAAGCAGTGCTTGCATGAGTGAAGAAAAGGCTCACATGCTGCTAGTGTTTGGTGTTCACGACTTTTACGGGCTACATAGGGCATGACGAGGTCGCACACCAAGGCAGTCATTATCATTTAGGGAATACTGAACTTCTATGAGAAGATACCATGACTTGAATAACTATATTGTCCCAGCCCACATGCAAAATAAGCTAATGATATAGGGTCCGGATTGTGGTCTAGCACTGGGTTATAATAAGTTAACAAAAAAGTTATGAAAAGAGTCTATTGTAAAGTAATACACTAGCAGTGCTTGCACTGCTGTTCCAGTATGAATGGTAGGTGCCAGTAGTTATAATCACAGACTATGAGACATTACATCTTAGCACTGAGAAGTGATAAAGCATCTGTAAATCTCTTCTATTGAAGTTAATGTGGTAGAACTATAACTTCACCTGTCATTTCAGTATTATAAAAAAGTTCAGAACTAATCTCAACATGTATCTATTGGTATATGGTAGCATGTGAATATTGGCTTGACTGGAAACCAGATTCATAACCTAAAACTTTTAATAAAAGCAAAACCCAGCTTCAATGAACTAAAAAGGCCTGTGTCCAGCAGAAGACTTTTGTGTGCTGATGCAGATGTGGAAGAGCTATGATGCAGTGAATTAGTGATACAGCAGAAAAAGGTCGGCTCAATCAGGCAATGATCATGCTCATACAGAATTCCAGCATGAAATAACAACATAACAGTGCATATAGTGAGTAAAGAAAACTGGAAATCCTTTTAACAGATAATGAGGCATTCCATCTTAGTCTTCTAGAGGTGATAAAAATTCTACATTTTGATTCTTAATCATGAATAAATATAGGTGTCTATAGGGAGCAACTTTTACTCACCATCAGTTAGACTATGTGCTTATATTAATTTGTACCCTTTCAAAAATAATAACCATATAATTTATAAGAAACCAATTTTGTAGCTCAAATTGGTCACTTCTATATATGATTCCTTTATAAGTTATATATGATTATTTTATAAGTCAAGATTTGTTGCTAATTTGTGTCTAGCAAGCGGTGTAAGAAAAATTAAGAAAATCCAAGAAGAAAGTTGGACTAGTAGATAAATACTAGTGTATATATACAGTTTTAATTTTGTTTCTGGTCAGAAATTAGACAATATATGTGACCTAAAGATGAATATACAAACAAAGGGTATACTCCTCAATGTTTATCTAAAAGTCTCAAGAAATCATTTTGCTGAGGTACATAACAAAAAATAGCAAGAACTAAATAACTGGAGCCTTTGTATGACAGCAGAACTCTTAAAGTAGGGGTAGTATTTTTTTAAGCATAGCAAATAATTGATCACTCAAAGAAAGAAAAGAATGTTCTTTATTTGTTTTACATAATATTAAAATTACATATAAACAAATATCATGAGTCTCTGAGAAATGTCTACTCATTTGTACCATGCTGTCTGTCAGTGGGGTCCACACCTAGTGCAGTACCTAAAGGAATTTTATATATGCCTTGATATCACCACTGCTGATAAGAGGGCTGGTTTTTTTAATGATCAAAGGCTTAGTATAGCCATTCAAGGGGGAAACTCAGGGAGTGTTCTTAACACTATACTGGATGGCACAAATATGATGGATAGTAGGAAGGACTGTATGATAATTATAGGTCGGAGTAGGTAGAGCTGTTTTTGCTACTTGCGACATGCGGACATAACATGGATATGCCAAATATTTCCCGGAATCCCGGGAATTCTCGGAATTAAAAAAACATTGTTTAAGTAGTTTTCATAGGAGTAGGTAGAGATATTTTTGTTACTTGCTACATGCGGACATAACACAGATATGCCAAGTATTTCCGTTTGTTGCCCTAAAATAATAGTAAACAGTTAAAATCTTTCCAATAAATAGTCGAAAAAACGGTGTGAAAAATACACGAAAAATTGTTCCACAGTAAGTATGACATACATAATTCAAATGCATTTTGTTAGCCGATCAAAATAATTAGATAGAACACTGTCAAACTCGTCTCCGAAAATATTTAGGTAAGAGCAGTCAATAGCCAATGAAAATGGTTATTGTAGGAAAATGCGGTGCTTGAAGGGGTGTGCGAGGTGGAGGTCTTTATCCACCTTATATTCTAATTGACTTAGTCAGCTTTTAACACAAGATTGTATTAGAAAAAAATGGTCAGGTGCGTGTCGGATCACCTACAAGGTAGGGTAGTGGGAGAGCACAATTTACATAAACAAGTTCCCTGCTACTCAGGTCACTAACGAAAAATTCCCTTTAAACTTTTGTATATAAAAATGGCTGTGGGTTGTGACAAACACACGGACATGGCGAAACTATAAAGCTTCCTTTGGAACTTCGGAAGCCTGAAAAAATATGTATTTAGCAGAGGACAATTACTTTGGTTTTTCACTGAATGTCCTTTGTAGTAAGTAGATATTATAAAAATAAAAAAAACACTTGTTATGTGGTAGGTAAATCAAACAAACAGTTTCAAATGTATCCAGTCCGCAAAAAACAAATCAAAATCCGTAAATCCAAGCCAAAGTATTCGTGTCAGTAAGATTCCAGAAACCAGTTAACAAGCCAACGTCAAATAAAATAAGAAACACAATAAATCACACATGCGCACTCTACAAGCCGGAACAAGAGAGTGAGTGAAGCCCGCTGTACTGTACCTGTATCTGTATAAGTGAGATAGCTAATACTTTGGACGTTTTAAGATAGAAAGAGACAAATAATAAGCGACGAAAACAGCATGTACGACGGGTTGGCAACATGGAGCATAAACATAGAAAAATAAAAGAGAGATAAATTGCTTTGTTAGAGAAAGACAGAACACGTTTTCTAAATATTGACTACAAGAAAAATTGAATATATAGGTTATTAAAAAAGAGATCAATAAAAAATTCTTATCTCTGTTTAAATAAAAAAAAAATTATAAAACTCTTTACATCCTTTTTTATTCTGTATTGTGTAGGCATTTAATATTTCCTTGTGCAGTAAAGTATATTTAGTTTTGTTTCTAACAGTTTTACTCAATTAATTCACATTTCACAAAGCTACTTCTAACAACATTCCAGGATCCCTGTGTGTGTATATAAGTAAGTATATACTGTTTGAGTGCTCACCTACTACCTTCGCATATTATCTCACTTAAATCAATCGACAATTTCAAAATCCCGGGATTTCAGAGGCATAATTAACATCAATGTTTGCGGTCATTCACCCCAAACAGCTCTACCTACTCCGACCAGTGATGATAATATACATTTTTTTATGGCAATTAATATTCTAACAACATAAATAGTTTGAACATATTTTACTCTAAAGCATCGAAATGCCCAAAGCAAACACTTTGGAATAACACAAGCAACAATGGATACACTGTCTTTAGGCAGATAGATTTCTTCCTATCCAAACAGACTCCAGGTAGAAAAGAAGTTACGCCTCGATAATAGATTCTTATTTAACTTTTGAACGAGTCATAAAAGTAGTTATGTAAAGTTATGTACAAAAGGTACTATTAAGAAAATTCAAAATAACATACTTTTATATGGTACATACCATAAGACTACTTTTTTCGTCTAAACAGCAATTACCAAGTATGCTTAATGTTATATCAAGAATTCTTTCGTTAGGTTTACGGAGATGTGGTATTAAATTATCTAAACCCCCACAATCTCTAAATAATTTCAAACCCCTGTCGTTTGAAATAACATTATTTTTTATCTTCAAAAGACTGTCTTGAATACGACTTGATGCTGTAGATTTCAGACCCTCTATAGTCGATTTGATGTAAGTTTTATCCATTCTGAAGAATTATATTCATCAATTCAAAACAATATAAATTATAAATTTTATTTTTACGAACAAAAATAAGTTGTCAAAATGTTAAATTGACATTGACAAATTTGACATATTTTTTTTTTTTTTGGAGTTTATGGCCTGGTATCTAGACCTTTAGGCCAGTCATAATTTTTTCTAGCCTATTACCATAGACATAATAAAACCAACGATATTATAATACACTGCGTATAGAACTAAACGAACTAAAGTTAAAATAAAACATATACTTGAAATGTTTGACTATAGAAAAAAGATGCTTATCGACGCTGACATAATAATAATAATACTGCCTCTTGATCTCTTTTTAACCTTCTTAATATGGTGTAGGTGAAAAAGGATGATAGTGTTTTTGACAGCTACAACAATCACAATCCTTCATTCTAGCCTCATTGAAAAATCTATTTGCGGCCGGGTCGCCATTTTATCCTCTCGTTTATTGAGTGTGGAAGTAAAGAGTACAGACTGTGTATTAAAAAGTGTCCATAGAAAACCGGTAAATAAGGGTGGCGCCACTATAGCTACGGGCTAAATTTTAAAGAACGTGCCGAAAAATATAAGTGGGATAGACGACTTTTTCGAAGTTATATTTACTAAATAAAATTATTTTAGATTTCAGAGCTACTGAGCAGTTTAGCAGTACACTTTAAACCGTCGACACCTGCTAAGTTCATTTCATCCCAGTAGCTACTCCAGCGCTGTTGTGGAGAGTTTTTGAGCTGTTATTTACTGCTTGATGGCCGCTTTTCCAACTATTCTACTATGGGAGTTGGTACTCCTTCCTTATACACTCCATACTCTCGTTGTTTTGTACCAAAGTTGGTACGTCAACTGTCAAATGCTCTTGGGCTGTTGGTGTAATTTGTGATTTTTGTAGTAATTTACTGTGTTGTTGCATTTGTACTCGGTTCAATAGTAGCAATCGTCAATAACAAGCTACCCAATTGCAATATATACCCCTATTGCGCTAACCTGAATCGGGGGCCCTACGCCCTGATTCAGGGTAGTGTAATAAGAGCAAGGGAGTAAGGGTCCCGAATTATACCGTCAAAGTGGACCCGGTCTGCACTGCCCTTGCCACCGTGCAGTGTAATAACACTAAGGGAGTGAGGACACTTATTCGATGTGCGATTAGGGATGGAAACGATACATCAATTCTTTCCAAAGTCAATATATCGTTCATAAGCACGGTTATTCATGAGCGATGTTTTGGCTTTCCGTCAAAGGTTACTTAATAACCAACTATTCGAAGGTATAAAATTCCGTATGTTAGAAGTTGCGAATGATGATTATCATGAATTTTATGTTGCTAAAAAATAAATGGCATCAAAAACATAACTTGTAAAAAAAAACCAAGTCTCGCAACTCAGTTCTTCTACGGTAAAAAGTTGTAAGATCCATGTAACACCAAGTCGGTTAATTTATTCAGTCCCTACTTAAGGGTCCTTCTGTATTAAGTTATTACTTAATCAGCTCACATAACAACATCTTATTGTGACCATATCACTACTAAAAATCTTTTATGTTTTAAATACATTTTTACAAGTTGTGTTCTAAGTTTGAAGCTTCTATGTCTGCTAGAAGTGCTTTAGAGTTTTGGTGATCGGTCAGTCAGTGAGTGACAAAATTAAGAAAGCTTGACTAATTATAACTCCTAAACTACTGGTTCAAATAGAATGAAATTTGAAATACACCCTGTCTATACAATTCTTGCTTGGTTTCTAAAAATTCATGTTTCTAGTACTATCCACAACGACATTATAAGGGGTCGAAAATATCCTGAATTGCTTCGAGAAAAGTATGGTACGGCCGTGCTGCTTTTTTACTTGATTCTGCCAGATATTCGAAACAAAATATGTCAAAGTTAGATAACGTCCAAATTTTTAAAGTTAGAAGGTTTACGAGTATTTAGTAGAAATAACTCAATCCCGAAAATTTTATCTACAAATCAACAAACAGGCGTCTTTCGGCCGAAAATAACTAATATACTTGAACTTTCTATTTTCGATGTAATATTGTAGTTATTTCTATTGTGATAATTAATTAAGATAAGTTTACAAATATTGAAAATGGATTGAAATTATTTGATGCATTTTCTTGTTAATAATTATGTTATTTGAGTTTTAACTTAATGAATAACTTCACAGTCTTATAAGGTAATTGTTGTTTTGTAATGGATATTTTATCGGCCTACGGTACTTCATATTTAGTTACAATCATTTTTCTGAAATATTGATTTTAATGGATGAACTGTTATTCACCTGTTTGTATTTCGATATAGTTTCTTAGATGTATTTACAAAATGCAATTATACTGAAAGTGACATAATATGGAACTACCATAAAAAATTAACGCACCACAACATAAAAAATAAAACTAAAGCGGAAAACCACCCAGGAGAGATACCGCTTACTAGATGCCAGGTTGTCAAAATTGTTATTTTAAATTTCAATTCGAAATAAATAAAGTTAAAAGTAAAAAATATTTATTTAATTCTTGTATTCTGATAATTATTCGATAAAATTAAATGTATAAAAATAAATAGTGTAAAACTTCCTAAAGT